GTGTTCGAACCAGTGAGGTTCGAACACTAATGTTCGAACCCTCGAACATTAGTGCCCGCCTGTTTGAACTCGAGGGTTCGAACACACCAGTGTTTGAACTCGGGGTTCAAACACTGGTCAATGTCTTCTCTCTTTTTCTTTTTCTTCGCAAAAAGCCCCCATAAAGCGATTTCGTGTGGTTCTCTCTTTCGTGTTCGTGAAAGCGTTTATAGACCAGTGCTCGAACCCGGATATCGAACACCAGTGTTCGAACGGAGTTTGAACACTGTGTTCGAACCCGGAGTTCAACTCCGGTTCCAGGTGTTCGAACTTGGGGTTTCAACCTTCATTCTAGTGTTATGTTCTCCGCTCCCCCCCCGGGCCCTCCCAAGTTACCTGGACCCAAACGGATTACTATGTACTATTCCGAACGTTTTTTCTTACTGGAGAGTCATACAGTGACTGGCCGGCATGCGGAGATCAGTATGCGAAACTTCGCCGATGTTCCCATGGGCCTCCGCATGGACAACCCGTCACACACCCTTTGCTAGAATCTTCCGTACCGATGACTGGGCCGTTCTTGCGAGACCTACATGTCGGAAAGCTGGGCCTGCTCAAGTGCGGCGCCGTTGGTTGGAGCAATGGTACGCATCTTTCCACCTTTGCTCAGGACTTGCACACAGCTGATGGCTCTGCGCAACGGGCATGGTAGCAGCACGCTTTTCCTTCTCGCTGCTAGCCCTTGCGAGACTCAATTCATTGTGAAGCTGGGCCGCTCTTTCGCTATACATCTGCCGTGGAGCGTGCTGGTGGTGGATGCCCGTTCAAAACTGCATTTCTGGAAAAGGACAACTGAGAGAAGCTATGTTCTACAAGACCGAACGACCCTGCTGGCTAAGTCTGCAAGTCGCGGCCTGTTTCACCTGACATGATTCTCTTGTACAGCTCTTTATTGTTTTCTTGGTGTAATTGTAGTTCTTACTGGGACAGTGCAGCAACTGCTGTCTGTGAGGCCCGCCCACGCCACAAAAAAAAAACGTCTATTTCTTTTTTTGACCCTCTCAAGCGATTTCGTGTGGCCTCTGCTTTTCTGTTCACGTTCTTTTTGTCATTTTTCGCTTTCTTTGGTTTGGAGTTGAAGGTTTGCGGTTTGGGCGTCAAAGGCGCAGGTTTTTTTTTTGCAAAAGCAGAAGGGTTCGATTCTGTTAAATTCGCGGTTCAAGCCCCCCAAAGCGATCTCGTGGGTTTTAAAACATTGGTTTTGAACCCTGTTCTTTTTGTGAATTTTTCGCTTTGTACGGTTTGGGTTTGGAGTTGAAATGGAAATTCAGAGACACACAAAGACTGCATGAAATCGTTCAGCGGGGCTGGCTCTCAAAAGCTCAATGGAGGCTAAAGACATTCCACAAGGCGAAGAAAATACATGTTCCGAAAATCGCTTTGGGGGGCAGTAGAAACCACATGACTTTGATGTAGACAGGTCTGTTCTTCAGGAAAACAATGACTGCCTCTCTACAGGTACAAAGCCAGATTCCTGCAACATATGACATTGCTTCGTTTCCACAAGACCAAGGGAAAACATCTTTGTGTTACAAAATGAAACAGCAAGTGTACCACCTCGAAATTCAGCCAAGCCAAACATTCCACTCGACGTGCTACCGCATGTGGAGTGAAACACCAATTGTTGTTTTGACCAAAATGACAGATTTGCACGGTTTCACGACCTTGAAGGCAATTGTGCTTTGTCACGAGAGCTCTGATGCATCAAGTCCATCTGGAATGATTCTAACAATCTAAAAAACATAAGGAGTCAGTTGACCTGCTTCACTCCACAAGCCGTTCTACCAGTGAAATTTCACGAAGTTGGCCTCCGGAAATCAGATCAGATGGTGCGCATGCCACGAGTACACCGACAAATCAACAAGCTTTTGGTGATTGACAGTCCGAGTTTGAATCAGTAGAAGAACCAAGTGAAGCAAAGAGAGCACAACATTGCTGATCATGAGGGTTCGTCGTCGACTACCATTTCTCATCACAAGAATAGTCATCATTATAAGCTGCTAGCGGTTCTCTTCGCTCACGACCGGCGCTCTAAGACTGTTTGTGTGACATGAAGAGCGAGTACAGCGATTATCATGATGACCAGGTTGGTGACGAAGGCGACTTGGATCCAAGGTTGTGCCGTCCGCGGGTGTCAGATGAAGAACCAGAGTGCACAGAAGAAGAGATGAGAGATTAAGATGCTATTGCGGATCAAATCGAGATCACTCGGTTGAACAGTATGACGGTGTTGCAAGATCCAGCCGGAATGGATTTGGCAGAAGCGGTTCACCTGACAACCAAAATGGTCAGGACATGGAGACAAAAGGAAGTGGGAATCCAGCGGTGCCAGTGTGGTATCGACGGAGTCGGTATGTAGCAGCAGCAGCCTGTGCAGATGACAATCGTCTACTGCCCATTCTCTACATGCACTACAAAGCTAGGGACGATGATGCGAACATTTCTGACGATGGCAAGTTGACGCTGTTCGCCGTTGACGTCGAGTGTCACGCAGCGCATCCTTCGCTTGTCAAGTCCACAGATCCCGAGAGCAGGTTTGCCATGCAGCTTCATGTTGATGACATGCTAGGGTTCGCAAAGCGGAAGTTTGTGCACGGGGTGTTCACCCCGACTTTGAAGAAGAAGTAGTACAAGGTGACAGCGCGCGTCATTGAGTTAACATTGGGGACTCCATCAGTTTTCTCAAGAGAAAGTCAGAGAAAGCACACTTTGATCAACAACGATCAGCTCCTGCTGACCCCGAGCCCAAAACACTTCGACAAGCTGTTTGACCTTTTGTGTGTGAGTGAGAATACCTCGTCTAAGAAGCCCCCCTACATGCCACAGTTGGATGAGATCGATAACAGTCCTGAGTTGAAGAGTGGCGAGGCAACAACGTTCAGGAGTGGAATTGGGTTGTTGCTTTACCTGTCAGTTGATCTTCCAGAATGTCAGTGTGCCATTCGTGCTCTCGCTTCGAGGATGGCAAGGCCAACAGTTCATTCCATGCTAGCGCTAAGGCACTTGGCAAAGTACTTCATCGGTGTGAGGTACAACGGGTTGATGATTGTGAAAACCGATCCCGGTGAAGGGTTGATGGGTGCAAGGAATGATGCAGGAGATCAACCGATTATCCTCGAGAGCTTCAGCGATTCGAACTGGGCCGCTTGTAAAGGGTCTAGAAAGAGCGTTAGCGCAAGTGTCATTTGTGTCGCTGGCAACATGTTGTTCAGCTCATCGAGAACGCAACGAGTGGTGGCACTATCGTGAGGGGAAGCGGAACTTCTTTCGTCCGGACAAGACTGGCGACGTGTAATCAATGATGAGGTGGATCGCCTAGTTGGCGCCAGGGCCGATGCAATGTTTGACAAAAACCGAGATTTGGCTCTTCAGCGATTGGACAAGCTTGCGGAGTCGGTTGCACTCTTTTTGGGTAGGCGTATGCAAACTTTGTTTGGCTACGACAAGGACCAAGGACCCCAGGTCGTTTTCCCTAGAAAGGCCAGCACAGCGAAATCCGATGAGCCAACCAGTCTGTCTACCAGCAGGTCTTCTTTTCGGAAGAAAAAGCGTGCCAAAGTTGCAAAAACCCCACCGCCTACCGGGGGGCAAAGCAAACCAGACGTGAAGCCGGAAAGTGCGAGCATCAATCGTGAGGACGTGCAAGAGCAGAGTATAGCCAACGATGGGGCTGGAAAGGCATCCTCCCAGCCGCCCCCGGAAGCCAATAAGAAGCAAATCTTGATGGCCTTGGTGGCCGGGGCAATGGACACCAAGGGGCACAAGTTCGCCCAGACGGGAGGCAAATCTGGCAACAACATGCAGATTAAGTGTGAGGAGTGTGGCCTTTGGATCCAGCAGAACGACACAAAACCGACTTTTCAAAGGAAGTGTGCCAATTTTTGCAAAAATCATCCCCTCAGCGCCCCGGCGCAGGAGTGGAAATGGCATCCTTCGCATAATATGTGCAATGAAGGCATCAGGTGGAGGTGCTCCAGGTGTCACAGTGTGCAACCCGTGGGGGGGCTTGCGACCCCGGCCGTACTTGAACGTTTTTGTGCACATGAGAAGTCGAACAATTCACGTAAGCGACTTGCCCGTGAGATTCCAGTTGCTGCTGGTACACAATCGGTCTCTGCTTTCTTTGCCAAGTCATCCTCCTAGCGCGGCCATAGGTCCAAGATGGGAGGCTCTAAGGGCAAAGGTAAGGGAGAAGGGCGGGGCCATGGCAATGAAGAGTTCTTTCGCCGCCCCTCCAAGAAGGACAGGGACCGTTTGAAAGCACTGGGTCTTTGGCCTCCTCAGAAAGGGGGCAAGGGCAAGCCAGCCGGGGCGAAGGGAGCAGCTCCTGACCACACCAGGCGGCCTGAAACACTGCCCCACCTGCAAATCGGGGGGTGGTGCTTCGAGAGGCACCAGCTGCCCCTTCCAGGCCTCAGCCACAGCAGCAGGAGGAAAGCTCTTCGTCTTCAGAAGAGCAGCGAAGCCGCTCACCGAAGCAGGCAAAGGCTCCGTCCCCGCCGCCAAATCGGGGGGCACGATCCTCACCGGACAATCGGGGGGAAGCAAGCTCGGCTCACGAGGCCCAACCAGGGCCAGGGAAGGCCAGTGAAACTGGCAGCTCAGATCAGGACGAAGCTACGAGCGACCAAATAAGCCCTGAGACAAAGATTCCAAGGAGCAGAGGAGCCGCTCACCTAAGCAGGCCAAGACTCCGTCCCCACCGTCAGACCGGGGGGCACGATCCCCACCGCGACATCGGGGGCAAGCAAGCTCTGTTCAAGCAGCTCGGAGCAGGACGAAGCCTCGGACTGCAAGCCAAGCCTGGAGGCCAAGACAGGGCAGGATGGTTCCAGTGGGGCGGCAGAGACCGCACCCAGGTCCAGGGAGCCGCAGCCCTACTCCTATCAGGGCCAGCCACCTCAGGTTGGTCCAGTCTGGCCAGTGGTTGTCTCAGATCAACCAATCGGGCTTCACACAGAATGGGTGGCACGGTCAAGCAACCGCCACCATTTTGGCTGTCCCAAATTGGGAACGAGCTCTTCCTGGATGAATACCCAGGGTGCCCAGGCCTTTCCCTCCTGGGCATACGGGGATCGCGAGCGGCCCCGGGGGAAACCACCCTGGTGTGGAAGCTCACCAGTGATGAGGGTGAACCCAACAAGAGGGCTGGGCATGGCCTGGAGCTCACGTTGGGGATGCACCTTCCTGGAATCTTTGCTGCGAGAACAAGGCTGGTTGGGGCGGGCCTTCTGCCAATGGGGGAGCCTCCGAGTCCAGGCGTTGGAGATGGAGAAGCTCCAGCCCATGCATGCGGAGCCGTCGGCTCAGCGCATCCTCCACATGGCCTTTGTGATCGTGGCCTTCTCGGCGGCGGGAGTTCTCACCAGGGACCTCAACAAGCACAATTGGGGAGTACGATCTCTCTCTCCCAACAGCTGCATTGAGGAACTGGTGGCGCTGGATGGGGCAGACTGGCAACAAGAGCCAAAGCCGGTCGCTTTCCCTCCTCGCCGCCGTTTGGAGTCATGGTGGAACTGGATCGAAAAGGTGGACCCTGAAACCACCTACTGGCTCCGGTGCTAGGTGGAGGCCTACTTGGATGGCCCGTGGGCTTGCTTCTAGATAGGGCTACTATATCCATATGATAAGCACTTGCTAAGTTCTAGCAAAGCACTGCAAGTTGTGTAGCAAGTCGTTCTATGTGACTGTAAACCATTACATGTCGTGGTAACATGTTATAACCACATGCATGGGTTAAGAACTTTTGGTGCTACTTATCATTCGGTTATTAATCCATCCTATCTTTTACAAAAGATATTAAATGTTATACATGTTCAGGTGGCACATATAATGACTTAGCTAACCACTTAAGCAAACCCGCTTAACCAGTTAGCCTTTTATATAACCACTTATGAACATATTTCGCAACCACATAGCTAAGTGATGCTAAATGGTTAGAGGTCGACAAAATACTGGATTTTGCCAGTTCACTTTGTGCTGAAATCTTTGGTTTTGAAATTGAATCATGGAACTTTATCGATCAGCCCCAGAGGCTTTCTGCAGAGAAATGAGCAGCCATTGGGCTTCTAGATTTTGTTGATCAGCTCAAAGCTTCCTCTGATGGCACAAATGACAAGCTGTAACTCATGAGACTTTCTTGATTAGCCGGCCGGCTTTAGTTTGCAGAAATGATAAGCCCTCGGCTTTCGAAAGTGGGAATTCCAATCAGCCGTTGGCTTTTGTGATTTTTGATTGCACATGCGTAGATTGTTGCAGATTGCATGAATTGCTCTTGCCCGCAAGCTTCGGCTTTGTATATATAGCTTTCCTTTCGCACGAAGTGCTTAGGATTTCTTTGTCCTGCAAGCATGCAAGTGTCTCCATGTGTGAAACAAGAGATGGACGAGATCCTTGCAAAGGAGATGCCCCCGGTTACCCAGTGGAAGGCCGTTCTCGACTTGCTTCTGAAGGAAAGCCTTGCCTGGAAAGCTACCTTGGAGCCCAGTATGCTACTGGTTCATCAATTGAAAAGGTCCGGTTTAGGTGTGAATGGCCACAATTGCCATTCGAAAGCAGCCGGCATCTTGAAGGCGGGCTTTGACAAGTCCTACCTCCACTCCAGCTGTTGCTGCTGAGATGATCTGAAGAACTTTGTGTGTAGGAAACTATACCAGTTCTGTGAGTGTCACCATGCATGTTCCCACCTAGGCTTCCAGCTTTCTGAGAATCCCGATCTTCGGGCGAGACAGGTCGCCTTCAATCAGAAACAGGTCGAACAAGCTGGCGGCTTGCTAGCCGCTAGCCCCGGTGAACGGCACTGAGAGATACCTCTCGGTCAGCTCAGGACATACGACACAGTTCCTCAAAGCCCTTTGGGCTGGCTGCCGCACCAGCGAGGGTTCGCTTGCCACGAACGGTTTCTTGAGCAAGGAGGTGCTGTGCGGGAAGGACCCTGTCCTCCGGGAGGTGATGTTGCACGGCTGGTCCTGGGTCATCGTCTCTTGGGCAGTCGAAGAATGCTATCTGGATCTTCCAAAGCTTGCGGAGCGAGCTCTGAACTCCAGCAACTCAGCCTTTCAGGCTCAGTCCGAGCTGGAACTGGCCTTGCACATCCTGGATCTCGCCTCAGGCATGCAGCAGCCTGACTTCAAGGCTTTGGCAGCTGAAGCTTGTCATGCCGGGCCCGTGAAGAACTACTCCTCCAGCATAGTCAAGTGGCTTGGGTCCTACAGCAACAAAGGCGACTTCGCCAAGTTTCTAGGGATCTTCACGAAGGAGTTCGGGGACAACTACAATGTTGGGGAGGAGTTTTGGGTCATGGCTGCTGGCAACATGTTTGCTGAAGTGCCTCTGCTGAGGCTGGCAATGCTCGCAACCAATTTCACAGCTCCAAAGAACAAGATCCAGGACGGACATGCTCGGCTCTTAACCCGATCGGACTGGGACAAGTTGAAGGGCAACAAACTGCAGAAGCAGATCTTGGATATGGACCAGAAGCTCTTTCAGGCTTACCAGAAGGTTGAAGCAAGCTTTTCGGACCTGGCAGCCATCAGGGCTTTTGGCATGCTCTTGATTCGATGCTGCATGCACGTCTTGCAGAAGGAGAAGATGGGCAGGGAGACGAAAGTGTTCGAGAGCATGGACGAGATCTTTGAGGCCTTTGAGGTGCAGCTTGGAAACATCAACTTGGCCGCTGCAGCTCCTGCTGCTGCAGCTCCTGCTGCTGCAGCTGCTGCACAGCAGACTGCTTTGCCATCTTCGTCGTCCTCTGCGGGTGGGGCAGCCCAACAAGCGGGATTGGTTTCGCTGGGAGAAGCATACGATGTTTTGTTCTTGGCCAAACAGAAGATTGAGATTGCCGTCGGGAAGCACTACACCTACCAGAACAAGCTCTGGAAGCTTCGAGAAGCAGACAGCAACCAGCTCGTGCTGGAGCTTCTTGACTTGTTCCAGAGCGAGGAGGTGACCATCGAGACCAGCCAGTGTTGGAAACACTTGCGAATTTCCAAGCTTCCTGCACCTGTGTTCACCGACAAGGCATTGGCTGCCTCCAGAGAGCCGCATGCGAGTTGCAGTACAGAGGCCCTTATGGCTGAAGTGTGGTTGACCATGCTGAAAGTATGCCCAAAGCTTCAGCCCAAGAACATTTGGAGCTTGATCGGTGTGGTTAACAGCAGCCGGAAGGCTTATGCCTTGAAGAAGATCCCTGCCGGCGAGTTGTGCCTCTTCCCTGCGACGGATGCCATCAACAAGATCACCACGAAGGCACCCGCTGACGAAGAAGAAGATGGGACAGATCAGGTACAAAGAGGCCGATTACTACATCCTCCCCCCAGCCATGTTCAAGACCTCCGAGGATAACAAGGTTTCAGGCTGCATTGCGCCATACTGGTGGTTGGATCCCGTGAAAGAGCCGTGCATGACCTGGGAGGAGAAAAGTCATGGTGGCATCACTGCTTGGTGCTTGGTCAACAGCGAGAGCCTGGATGAAGGAACCTTGCTCGCTTGCCCCCAAGCAGAGGAGGCGGAGCCCGAGGCATCGAACATCAAGGCGAATCAGAAGAAATCTGCTGGCAAGAAGTCTGAGCCCCCCAGCAAAAAGCCTAAAGCCTGAGTTTTAGACACTGTCCCATGGACAGCATTTGGCCTATTTGTGTCCAGTTGCATTTTGAAGCCATCGGCTTGCCGGCAACTAAAACTTTTGGAAGCCATTGGCTTGAGAACCACACCCGGCTTGGCTATACTCCCGTGTCCGAGAAAAGTACATAATCCTCTGCTGCACCGAGCATGTTTTTTTTGAGTGCTGCCTGCATTATGCCGCTGCATGTTGTGGGTTGCATGCAAATTCATCGTTCTCTGCAGCTGTGAGTCCTGCAGGTTTGTGTGTATGTGCAACAGGCATATATAGTCTGCCATGTCGGTGTCCATGTCCACGAGGCATGTCATCAAATACGACGATACCGGCAAAAAGTGGGTTGTCCCTTCTAGCTTGGTTCACCAGGATGACAAGGGCCAAAAGTGGCTTCAGATCCGATCCAGCAATTACGGGCTGTGCTTGCTTCTGGGATGCTATTATGCTTCCAGAAACCCATCCTTGAAAGGAGCAGAGGGTTTGACTTATGTCATTGAACAACGAAACAAGCTGGTAGGCTTGGTGCCGGAAGAAGACAAACTCTTCGGCGGCGATGCCGAACCCGCACATCAGCCTAAAAAGAAAAGGCGACAGGTGCACAACAATGTCGAGGTCATGCAGGTGGACATCCAGCTCCCGGACGACTTCGGCACGATAGTTGTGCGAGCTGCAGAGAAGGTGACTAGCGACCTTCAAGTTCTCATGGACGAAGCTTCGTTGCACAAGCTCTTTGGCTGGATCAAACACAAGCGACTCGCTTTTGATGACCCCTCCAGGCCCTACAGGAAGACAGGGAAGTATGCCAAGAACAAGCATGCTTTGCAACGTGACGATGACGATGAAGACGATAATGAGGAATCTCAACAGAACCCGATTCAGGATATTAACCTATTGTCGAGCGAGGACGATTCCAAATAGCAGCTGTACATAGATTGTATATAGCCACTCACAGCAAATTTGCTTTCTAGCAGATGCATGCATAGATCCGATGCATGCATGCAGGGGTCGGGGAAATGCTCCGTGCACTTGTTTGTTTCTTTGAGCGAGATTTTAGGAAAATTTCATATGCATCATGAATAAAAAAGCCCAGTGGGCTTTTGATTTGACTTTGCATGGATCAGCCCACGGGGCTTTAAGTTTGAGTTTGCATGGGTCAGCCCAGTGGGCTTTCGACTTCATATATTTCTTTGCAGGCAGCATGGATCAGCCCACTGGGCTTTGGACTTCATGTTTTTTTGTATGTGCATGTGCAGTCAATCATGCATGGCCGCCGCCGGACTTGCATTTCCAAGACTTGAAGTCTTTGTGTGTAGCTCTGCGTGGTGGTGCATGTTGCATTTCATATGCACTGGAAGTCTTCATTATATAGTATGGATGAGCGAGCTGCCGATGGCATTGGATGTCCCGAAATATAACAGCTCATAGAGCTTGCGATCCAGCCATGTCAGCCATGGCTGCTGCAACCGCCCTGCAGCATACACCTAAGGCCAGTGCCGGTGCTCCTCCCAGTGCAGTGGACTCTGATGCTGCAGCTCCGGAGCCCATGCCCATGAGCTCGTATGTGCAGAGTTGCATCGATGCGAATGCACAGTTGAACCGAGAGCTCATGGAGATGGCTGCCAAGCCTTGGTTCTGGTACAGCGGAACCCTGGTGCTGGATCTGGTGGAGTATGTAGAGTCCACTTGGACCGATGCTGAGATGCTCGGGCTTGGACTTGGGCCTTTGATTTTCACCAGCCTTCTGTTGGTAATATGTGCCCAGGAACAGGTGCTTCGAAGCAGCCCGTGGCTTTTACCACCCAGGCGATATCCATGCCAACGGCTGCAGAATGCGAAGAATGCATTCATATGGTACTCCAAGAGATACAGCACCTTCTACTGCTCTGACAGAGTTGTGCTGGATACAGTGCCACCTCAATGGTGGGAGAATGTGGAGGTGTTTTGCTCCTTCGGGGTGGCCGAGTTCATTGGGCAGATGGCACCGGAAATGTCCGGCACCGTACACTGCCCTTGTGACGATGTGCAGCCGAGTGTGAACTTGAAGCTCAGAACGGGCGACCAGTGGTATTCGTGGATGGGGTGCCTGAAGAAGCGGAAGCTCGAGGACGAGGTTGTTAGTTTGCGGAAGCAGCAAAGAACACTCCCGCCTGGCCAATGGCTCGGAGACTATCCGCCGCCCCCGCCGCCGCCTCCACTTCCAGCCGCTGCACCAGCACCAAGTGCTTCAATAGCTGGCACACCAGCACAAAGTGCTTTTCCTGCAGGTGTCCCAGCAGAAGCAGCTCCACGAGCTTCCACCGATGGCCCGCCGGCAGCAGATCCAGGTGCTCCCACGGCAGCAGATCCAGGTGCTCCCACCGATGGCCCAGCAGCAGCAGACCCAGATGCTTCTATCCCAGCAGCCCCAGGCTCTTCTACCGATGGTCCCGAAAAGGACAATAACAACAGCTGGGAGGGCTATGGCGACAGGAGCTGGGATAACTATGTCTGGGACTACAAGACTAACAGCTGGAAGTGGCAGCCAACAGCTGTGCCTGAGAAGGGCTCGGAGAGCCAGAATCAGGAGAGAACTGGGCGGCTAGACAATACTTTCTTGTGTTTGGGGTAGTGCGGTTTAGGTTTTAGTTTTTGTGTTGTTGGTTTACTGGTGTTGCTCTGGTTGCCGGTGTTCTGGTTGGTGGCGGTGGTCGTGGTGCTGGTGTTGTTGTTGGTGCCGGTGGTGCTTGTGGTGGTGGTGTTGTTGTTGGTGCTGCTGGGGGGTGGGGGCTGCATGGGGGTATATATATATATATGATTATATATATATATGATTATATATATATATACATATATATATATATATATATATATGTATAGAGTGGTGGTGATGGTGATGGTGATGGTGGCGGCGGTGGTGGTGGTGGTGGTGCTTCTGGCGGTGCGGGCGGCGGGGGTGCATGGTGGTGCTGATGGTGGCTGGTGGTGGTGCATGGTGGTGGTGCTGGTGCTGGTGCTGGTGCTGGCGCTGGTGCTGGTGCTGGTGCTGGTGCTGGTGCTGGTGCTCGTGCTCGTGCTCGTGCTCGTGCTCGTGCTCGTGCTCGTGGTGGTGGTGGTGGTGGTGGTGTGGCGGTGCTATATTGTTGTTTTTATTGTTCTTGTTGTTGTTGCTGGTGGCGGGGTTGTTGTTGTTGTTGTTGTTGTTGTTGTTGTTGTTGTTGTTGTTGTTGCTCTTGTTGCTTATTGTCCGCTGAGGTGGATGAATCGTGTGATCGCTCTGGCCGGAGCCGTGGAAGCAAGGGACAAAGCGGAGCTGGATCGGCTTGTGAGAGTGATGCTGGGTTGCACATGTGCACACCCACAACCATCTGTAAACCCTATAATACTATAAGCCCTGTTATATCATTTTGATATAAACCCTGAAACCTTAAAATGCTAAAACCCTATATATAACCCCGAGTCCGGACGGCTCAGTTCACGAACAAACAGCCTATAGGGGCTTTTCCTGCGGACGGCTCAGTTCACGAACAAACAGCCTAGGGGCTTTTCCTGCGGACGGTTCAGTTCACGAACAAACAGCTTACGGGCTTCCCCTTGCTTTTTCCATGATGCTATAGATATAGGTGTAGATATGGATATGGATATATGGCTATATGTTCATGTATATGTATATATCCATATATGTATATATGTATATATATCTATATATAGATATGGGTACAGATATAGATATGTAGATAGCAGCAACCCTGTGGGAGTGCTGTCGCTGTGTAGGAAGCTCAGCCTCTCGGCTTTTTGCTTTGTAGGAAGGTAGCAACCCTTTATAGGCCCCCTGGGCTTCTCATATATGTGGAGCTATGTGGAAAGGTGCCATGCTTTTCATATACAGCAGCCCCCGGCCTGGGCTTTTCCTGTATATATTGGGAGCAACAGAAACCCATCCAAGGTTCCGTCGCAGCCACACCTTCGACAAGCTCTTGCAACAGCACGTGGACAATGTCAAGAAGTATGGCTGGGACAAGTATCTTTACTACAAGAATCCTTAAAGGATCTACCAGCCTGGTATCTGCAGTGCAGATGCATCATGCATGCCAAGCTGCTGCATGCAGTCTTCTTTTTTGCAAAGGCAAAAGCACAGCTGCCCGAGGGCATTTCACAGGCACAAGCAGCTCTTAGCTTCTAGCAGGGCTTTAGCTGTAAAAAAAAAACTGCCTGAGGGCATGTCGCAGCCAGTAGCAGGCTTGTAGTTTCCAGCGGAGCCTTAGCCTTAAAAAAAATACAAAACAAAACCTAAATTCAGTGTCTGAATTCTTGTCTAGGAAAACCGTGTTAGGAATTCAGTGTCTGAATTTAGGTATAGGGAAATCGTGTTAGGAATTCAGAGTCTGAATTTAGGTATAGGGAAATCGTGTTGGGAATTCAGTGTCTGAATTTAGGTATAGGGAAATCGTGTTGGGAATTCAGTGTCTGAATTCAGGTTTTTAGGACAGCAGCTAGCAGAGTTCAGTCTCTACACATAGAGATAGGACACTCCAAGCTAAAGCTCTGACCCTGCAGCGGGACTTCAGAGCAGTCTTTAGTCGTTGCAGTCCTCGTAGTATGCCTGCACCATCTCAAAAACTACAGAGCCAAGGTAGCTTCTCAGTAGTCTCTGTATAGTGGACTGGAATAGAGCCCTTAGTCTCTGCAGTGTCTGCATATACCTGCCCTATAGATCTAGAATACAGAGGTAGCTTCCCAGTAGCCTTTAGGAACCCCTATACTTCACAAACTCTCTCGGGACCCCACACCAGTCTGTAGTCTTCGCAGTCTCTGTACCCCTCTATAAGTTCTACAGAACCACGGTAGCCTCTTGTAGCCTGTGTGCCTTCGCCGCATGCCTCTAGGATAATAGCCGATAGCTCTGTGCTTTGCTGCTGCCGCCGGCATCCAGTATGATATAAATTCAGGACAACGACTCAACTCAGACTCTTCCGCTGTGTGGGTGAAAACGAAGGACGACGGAGTGCGAGCGTGAATGGAAATTATATGTTTTGTATCGAACAATAGAACACAAAACAGCTCCACCAGTATAGCAATATACCACTGTATTTTATATACCATTTACCACTATACCACTGTACCACTACCACAATATATACCACTATATACCAGTATTACTTCTATACAAACCACCACTTCTATATACTACCACCCCACCACTTCCACCCTTCCTGCATGCACCAGCACCACCGCCGCCACCGCCACCACCACCACCGCCACCACCACCACCACCAGCACCACCAGCACCACCACCGCCGCCACCACCGCCGCCACCACCGCCGCCACCGCCACCGCCACCACCGCCGCCACCACCACCACCACCACCGCCACAGGTCGCACCCGAAAAGGGAAATCGTAAAGCGGTTCCCTGCCCCCGTCCTGGGATGGGGGTGGCAACCGGGGTGCGACCACCACCGCCGCCACCACCACCACCACCACCACCAGCAGCACCAGCACCAGCGCCAGCACCACCACCGCCACCACCACCGCCACCGCCACCACGACCACCACGAACAACAACAACACCAGCACAACAATATTCTTCGTGTCATGCATCTATAGAGATGTGGCTTTTTTCGAGAACTGGACACAGCTGTAGAGTTGCACCATTTTTCTGCATATAAACGTGTTCCGGAACTGCTTAACAGCCCTTGCCTGTCCTTGCAGTTCAGCAACCCAACATAGGTTTCTCGCAACAAAGGTTTTTAAAGCCTGCATATAAGAGCCTAAAACCCTGTGGAACCCTCAGCCTTGTAAAACCCAAAGCTCCAGAATGCAGAGCCCTTTTGGAACCTCAGACACAATCCTCTATATAAGTATAGCTCTATATACACCCTAAACCCAGAAACCCTAAATCTTCTGACTTGTGTCTGCACACAAGCCACATTGGCTTCTGCATCATCAGTATTGGGGCTTCTCGACCATGTGCAAATTGCATTAAACACATACAAGCCAGTTTGGCTTCTGCACGAGCAGGCCCTGCATGGGATTCTCAGGTTTTTCTGCGGTTTATATGTAGAAGTCATGCTGGCTTTTGCATGAGCAGCCCTCGGGCTTTTTATCCTGCTAGATGGTTCTATGTACTCAAGGCATATAACAGCCAAGGCTGGCTTTGGCATGAGCAGCCCTCCGGCTTGTTTTGCCCGCTGTATAGATTACATATACCCTGTAATGTAAACCCTATAGAAGCCAAGCTGGCTTTTGCATGAGCAGCCCCCGGGCTTTTTTTTCCCTGCTGCTGGATGGCTATCTATATATAAGTCACATAGAAGCCAAAGCTTGGGTTTAGGGTTTAGGGTTTATAGGGGTTTAGCACTCGGGCTTGTGTTTATCCCGAGTACATGGCTACGTCTAAAAGAAGAAGCTGGCTGTTGCATGAGCATGCAGCCCTTGGACTGATCGCTTGTTTTGCTGCATAGAATGGAGACTGTTTGCACGTGTGCCTGTGCATGTCTGTGTTCGTGCATATGTATCAGCCTCTGGCTTTAGTGGTAGCTGAGCTGAAGCAGTATAGCTGCTTAGAGCAGTACTTTGTGAGAATGTCGAAATGGACATTGGCCAACGTCGTGCAGGAGGTGCAGGATTGCGAGAGCCTGATGCAAAACCGAGCTGCACCAAACCCGGACTTGATGAAGAGGATGGTGAACAGCATCAGCTTCAAGATCCGTGCCTTGCAGGATGTGACTGCTGCCCAGTCTGTGGAGTTGCAGACTGCCCTGCAGGCTTGCAAGTCTTTGCCCGACACCATGAAGGAGCAGATTCAGAACGCCATGGATGGCATGATCGGTACTGCAGGCCAAGAAGAGTGCACGTCACAAGCGAACAAGCAGCAGAAATTGCTTCACATTTGCAACTTCCTGACAGCTTCTGATTGGGAATCCCTGCGAAGTGTCGAGTTGAGTGAGATTGCAAAGCGACAGCTTGTGGTGCTCAGGTTGAAGAAGCTGGGTGTGAGAAACTTGGCCGAGAAGACTGTTCGATCAGCTGTGGCAGCTTTGTGCTGCTGCTTGCCCGAGCAGCCCAACAATGACGAGTTGTTCCAGATGGTTGCAGACTTCAAGGTGATGTTCCATGCCACAGACACACCAGTGACCTGCAAGAACTTGCCCTTCGTGCATGTCTATCCAGATCAACCTGCTCACTTGCCCCAAGGCATCCTCGACAAGGCCTACACCCAGGAGGACCCACCTGTGGCCATGCAGTTCGAGAAGTTCAATCACCTTTGCTCCTGTATCTCGTTGAGAGGAAACTCGAAGATGTTATCCCCCAACCAATCACAAGCTTCCTCTAAGCAAGCTTCAGCTTCGTCTAAGCAAGCTTCAGCTTCGTCTGGGCATGCTCCCTCGTCGTCGGTGCTAGTGCCGGCATCGCCAAGTCATCAGCCCATGCAGATGCAGATGCAGGACGGGATGCAACCCATGATGGCTATGATGCAGATGATGCAGCCGATGGTCAACATGATGATGAACCAGTTCAACAAGGGCATGTCAGGTGGGAGTCCGGGCTCTTGGGTGTCGACTGAGCAGGCTGCGGCTTTCAAGCCCAAGACCAAAGACATCGACCTGCAGATGCTCACCCCGCAGCCGGGCGGTGGCTCTGCTTCGACGAGTCCGAATCCAACGACTCTGCCAGCTCTGCCTGGTGCTGCAAATGCACTTGGAGGCCCAGAGCCAAAACAGCTTATGTTCGATTCTCCGTCTACTGCTGCAGAGTCGCCTCTGAAGGAGCAGACTGCAGCAACTGAGAAGCCTCCTGCAACAACCGAAAAGGTTAAGGAGGGCATGGAGGATCAGCTGTACAAGGCTTTGAAAGACAGGGCGGAGGAGAAGAAGAAGGAGAAGGACGCCAAGGTTGCCAAGAACCCCAAGGGTGAGAGCAGCAGCAGCAAAAAGCCAAAGGCTGAGAGCAAGAAGCCCAAGGCTGCTCAGAAGGCTGCTGCCAAGCCTGGTGCTAAGAAGAATGCCTCGAAGAAGTTGCACAAGTATGAGCCGGCTTCCCCCACCGAGGCCCAGCTTGGTGCACGACGAGAGACATACACAGACGGGCATTATCACAAAGCCAGAAAGCTTGCTGAGAAAAGCGGCTACGAAAGGGAAGCCGAACTCGGGTGTGGAAGAGCTGCTGGGGCTGCAGCTGCCGCCAAGTGGCAGAGGCATGTATAAGCCATAATGGCTTCACGTGATCTCTGCGAAGCTGGAGATTGTGCGTAGAGCTTGTGTGGGATGCATTTACCAGCCATCAGCTTGGTTGTTTTATGCTGGGACAAGCAAAGTGCTTTTCTCCATGCCTTATGGCAGCATGCTCGAGTGTTCTTTGTTTCCCTTGGGGACCTGGTCGCTTTGTGTTTTGCAGACAAGACCTCAGAGAATCCATCCGAAGAAGGACAAAAGAAGGGCCATTTTGCAGTCCGCCGTTTCGTTGAGGTATATGTCTCATATTGGCAGCAGTTTCTGAGTGGTGCTTGCATGCATGCAATGAAGAAGCATTCCTGCTTTCCAACCAGTGAACACTGCTGCCACACAAGCTTTTGGTTCATACATATATAAACCTAAAACCTTGTAAACATCTAATTTGTTCTTCCAAACCGTGAAGCCAACTGAAGCCTGATAGTGGATTCCAGCTTCGAGACAATGCCCATGCATCGATTAAATCGTCTTGTATCCCAGCCATAAAATTCAAGCCAAAATAAGTTTTAAGTGTATCTGTATTCACATAGACGTATACGGCCGAGCATAGAAACAAGAGGCCCTGAACTATGTACATAATTGTTCGTGTATACGTGCACATTATATGTATGTAAACTTCAGACTCGAATAAAACGGTTCTAGACACCAAGTCATGGAAAGTGACCGCCGGGACTCCAAACTTCAAAAGCTGGATGCTTTGAGGAGGAGGGTACCTGCAGTGTCTGCATCAGCTTTGGCGGGTTTACTTCAGGACATCGAGAAAAATGGCTTGCCGTCTTTGAAGCAGCGGAAACATGTCAAGGAAGCTACTGAACACACAGTCTTAGAGCACAAGGCCTATGGTCCGATGATTGATTCCATCAAGGTGGCTACTGATGAAGGGGAGGTCGAGGTGATCATGGCCAACTTCTTCTCTTTGTTGCAGGCGCTTTTTGAGACATCCTCCGAATTCCAGGATCTCCTGCGCAGCAGCCTTGTGGCTTCTGGTGGTCAGCCATTAAACCTCGTTTTTTACTCAGACGAGGTGACTCCTGGAAATGTTCTTTCAGCTGATACCTCCAGGAAATTGTGGGCAATATATCTTTCCTTCATGGAATTTGGCTCACAAGCCTTGTCCAAGGAGGAGGCTTGGATACCGGTTCTTTGCCAGCGATCGAAGCTTGTGAATGATCTTCCGGGGGGTGCCAGCCAGATGGCTTCGCTGGTGTTGAAGAACATTTTCTGCCATGGGCAGTGCCACCCAGAGGCCGGATATGATAAGTTACAAACTTGGTACGTGAGGGTTTCTTCTTAAATGAGCATGTGTGTTATATGTACTTTGGCATTGTGTTTCGGAACTGCTCGCTAATTGTTGGCCCCGCAGCTTGGCATCCTCTTGAAGACAGCTGACGACAGCTTGTGCATCAATCTGAAGTTCGAGCTCAGGCGCTTTTCTTCAAGACGGACTTGCTCACAAGTCCCTGTTCTCAATCAAGGGCGACAACGGCACTCGGTGCTGCCTCCTTTGCAAAAACGTCATCTCTACCAACAGCATCGAGCTTGAAGAAGCCAGGCTGGTTTCTGATATCTACAAGGAAGCAGACTTGGAACTGTCAACAGATGATGACTTTGCAGCTACTGTGCTCAAGACGGTGCAAAAGAAGGACACTTTGTCCAGTAAGCATTTCCAGCTCTGGCAACAAGCAGCTGGCTTGAACTTCAATGATGCAGCCATGATATTCGATCCGGACCTCTGCAGGGTTGTCAAGCCCACAAGCCAATGGCTTCACGACTGCATGCACACATTCCTGGTGAAAGGGATTTTCAACACAATCATGCACCTGATGATGCAAGCAGCCGAGGAAGAGTTGGGCCGAGACTTTTACAAGATCGTCCATGACTATGTGAAGGAGTGGCAACTTCCCAAGAGCAGGTCAGAAAACCTGTCAGGTTTGTTTGTGCACAAGAGGAAGAAAACCAACGACGAAGCTGGGAGCTTCAAGTGCAGTGCCTCCGAGGGGTTGAGTTTGTTCAGCATATTTACGTGCATGTTGTTGAACGTGGTTGCTCCCGTCGGTGTGTGTGTGTGCTAAGCCGATTGCTGTGATGGTGGCATTAGCAAATGTGCTTGAGCTGCTTCAAGCATGTGCTCTGCCAGGAATCACGAGCCCAGGCAGGCTTGCTGCAGCCATAGAGGCTTTCCTCGAAGGCAGCATTGCAGCAGGATGGCATGATGCCTGGCACCCAAAATTTCACTGGGTGGTACACTTGCCTGCCCAGTTGCGGAAATGGGGCATTTTGCCTGCATGCTGGGTCCAGGAACGGAAGCACAAGTTGGCAAAAAGGTTTGGCACCCTGCAATCAAACACAACTAACTATGAGAGGTCGATTCTTTTGCAAATTCTGGGCCAGACACTATCTGATATTCAGCAGGAAAAGCTCTTTGACACATCTTGCAAGCTGGCACAACCCGGAAAAGCACCAGCCAAAATGGTGGCTTTTCTGCAGGAGTACATGCCCGGCTTCCAGAGCATCCACACGAATGCAGTTGCGGCATTGCAGCCAGCAGGTTTTGCACACAAGGGGGATCTGGTATTGATGAAAGCTTCCCGCCAAGTTTCACAAGTGTATTTTCATGCCGATCTTGATGGGGTTGTGTATTCTTTGGTTTCCCATTTCAATCTGGTGACGAATGATTTGGCCCATGGCTCGTTGATAGTCCAAAGGACTGATGCCCCGATGCTGGTCGAAACCAGCATGATAGCTTGCCCTTTGCAGTACACCTCTCTTGGAGGGGACAAAATTCGAGTTCTGATTCCTCTGGCCCACAGAAAGGCTTGAGTGCTTGCACAGGGCCTGCCGTTACCAAAAACCAGTACATGTGCCAGGTCTCGTCCATCACGATTGCATGCGTAACACTGCCTGACAAGCCTTGCGGCTTCTGCATCAAAAGCCGGCACAGGCTTCCATCCACGAATGTTGCTTCTTGCCGTCAGATTTAAAACATGAAAAAGTGGAAATCGCACTTCCGGATTTTCGTTTGGTTGGGATTGAAACGCCCAAATATGGAATTTTGTTCACCGGATTTCATGGTTTTGGGACATGCTAAGTGGTTAGCAAAATATTTGCTAAGTGGTTAGCATAGAGTTATAAATGCCTGTTAAGCGCTTAGCAAACTGGATGCTATCCTGGTTGCTATCCCCTTCACAAGTACTTCTATAACCACATAGCATCCCTTGATAAACTGATAAGTACTTACATAACTATATAGCAAGTCCAAGCAAGTCCTATAAGTCAATATATGTAGAAGCCAACCCACGGGTCATCCAAGTACCATAAGGACCACGTCTTTATGGCCAGGGAGCTAGCGACAAAGTTAAGCTCCACAGATGCCGGCCAGTGGGTGGTGGCGTCACTCCACGCGCAAAGGGTGCTGGCCATCTCACCCCAAGGTGAGACGTGCCTGTGCGTCTCCAAGGCGTCGGCGCTTTCAAGCAGAGGCTGGGAACTTCTTTGCCTGAAGAGCCCACCAGACCTTGGGGGCCAATAGGGAGGACCACTCCCTGGGCAGCAAAGGGCATCCTAACCTCACCGGGAAGCGGGAGGACAGGGCCTGCAGGTAGGAAGACTGAGAAGCTTCAACCTCTCCGGCAATGGCCGGGAGGAAGGGCCTAGGGCCTAGAGCTTAGGACCTGAAGTAGTCTTCCTCCGCAAACCTCGCCAGCAAGGACTGGGAGGTAGGGGGTCCTAGAGCGTAGGACCAACCTGAAGGTTCCTTAAGACAAGGAGGCCAAGGCTGCCAACCCTTTTGCTGTCAGAGCACAGCCCAGACCGAACTGGCCGTTTCGGCGGCCGCGACTCAGAGCGCAAGACACGAGGAACTTCTTTCGTCCGCGAGCAGCATTTGTGATGCACTTCTGATCCGTGAGCTCTTGAGTTCATGGACTTCGGCAGGGTGAAGATCTTTCACCACATCGATGCCAGCGCAGCAAAGGCAATGCTGGAACGTTCCGGAGTTGGAAAAGTGCGCATCTTTCTTGCCGAATTCTATGGCATTCTATGGTGCCAACAATTGATTAAATCCGGCGAGGTTGCTCTGCTGAAGATCAGTGCCACATTCAATCCGAGTGACCTCGGAACGAAGGGGCTAAGCCGGGCAAGAACACTCATGTTGATGTGCATTTTGCGTGTGTGGGATGAGATGTGTGAGTGCTTCGTTGGTGCCCAAGAGCTTCGAGAAGAGAGAGAGAAACAGAGTATCAAGCAGAACATGAAAGTGATTCGCAACATTCGTGTGCCGATCATGATCTCAAAGAGTGCTTTGCGTGCAATGGTTTCGGCCACTTTGGTTTCGGGTGCAAGCGCCTTGGGCTTTGGCGGCGCGTTTGAGATGTTCGCGATGCTGTATGCCCTGATGTTTGAAGAGTTCCCGATGATGACGCTCATGATGCTCTACCTCTTCACGTTGGCGGTGATCGGGACGATCTTGTGCATGCGGCCCCAGCTGACTGTGATTGTGAAGGGCTTTGACAAGTCATTGTGTAGCGGTGAGCGGGCCATTGACATTTCAAGCCGAACGAGCTCGAAGGATTCGATTTCCAGCTCAGTCACCGGTGAGGAGATGATGATCAAGCAAACGTGCAAGCGCAGGGTCAAAGAGCCAGTGAACCCCGTATGGATTGCGGGTGAGTACGGGAAGAAGTATCACATGCTTGGGTGTGGCAAGTTGAATGGTTCCTTGGAGGTGAGCGAGATATCCGAGGAAGATGCAATCGCCAAGAGTTTGAAGCCATGCTCATTTTGCAATCCCCGCAAAGTGTATCATCCCGAAGAGTTTGTCACGAAGTCAAAGATGAAGTGAATGTGAGCCCGTCGCGTGCATCAAGCTTTACGGTGCACAGGGGTATGAATGTGAACCCATTGCGTGCATCAAGCTTTACGGTGCACAGGGGCGTGGATGTGAATGTGAGCCCTATTGCGTGCTTCAAGCTTTACGTTGCACAAGGGCGTTACTGGCATTTTGTCGTTATAGCCTTGTACATTGTGGTACATAGATGGCTGACTGTACTTAGCATGTGGAGCATGCGTCACTTGAGTACGTAGTTTTCTTTTCACCGGAGCGTTGTAACACACTCGAGTTTCTGCACTACGATACCGAGCCCAATACTTTGAGTACAGGTGGCTTTAGAATTTTAGAAGTCACAAAGTTTTTCTGGAAAGCATTGCCAAGTACGTGGCATGCTTTAGGCGGGGTCCAAAACTTTGCATCCGTATGTATCAGTATATTTTGGCCGGTACTTTTGTAAGTACTTTTGCTTTACGCTTTGAGCTCCGTTGTACAGTGCTGGACGCACGACTTTGCAGGCGCTCTTGTCCGAGCGAAAATTGTCAGTTTCAGCAAATCGATGCCAAAGATGTTGTCAACTCGCCCCTGCTTTTCCGCAGCTTTGTTGATCTTCTGAGCTTCCTGCTCTCTCTTCTTTTTTTTTGTTGCTCTTGCCTTCACTGCCTGCTGGTCTTGCTGGCGCTTCACCCGCTCCTCGCTTGCGTGGCGATCTTTGTTGAACTTTTTCGTCTTGCCTAGCGCAGATTTGAGGGATGTCCGCATGAGCGATATGATGTTGACCACAGGCTTAAAGTCAGTCTCGATGCTCTTCCTTTCAGCGGGTGTCGCCAAAGTCTTCAAAGAATTGCCAAGCTTCTGGGAGATGTGCAGCAAAGGCTGCATCTGCAAAAACGACTCCGGCAGCTCTGCCTCCGGGTTGCATTTCAAGACGGCCTCATACTGATCGGCATCCTCTTGTCCTTTCGCAGGATCATCCGTCTGCGCTCTGCCTGGAGCGTAACTTCCAAGCAAAGCCCGAGGCAACGAACCGCCTGGCCGCCTGGCACGCAGCAGTGTCATTGCCGCCAGCTCGTTGAGCGGGGTCTCGGTCGATGCCATCGCGGCATCGAAACTTTCATCGGTGAAGGCAGCAACTTCCTCAACAAGATGCGAAAGAGCAGTGGCTTCTTTGTCGAGCATCTGGTTCAACTTGTTTGCAACGCCAGCTTCTCCGTAGCTGCATCAAAAGGCTTCCGATTCTCCTTCTCCTTGGTCTCCTTCTCTGCTTCGGCAGCGGGCTCATTGACACCCACAGCAATCTTGTTGGGACGACCGAACAAGCTAGAGACCATGTCTGGGTTGTCCATCCTAGCCAAACCGAACTTCTCGATGTCCTTCTCCCTGCCTGCTCTGCCAAGCAGACCTTCATCCATTAACCCCTCCACCTCATCAGTGAACTTCTGTCTCTTGAATTCTTTTTGTTTGATTTTTTCGTCCACAACCGCGTCTTCCACGATGATAAAATCATCTAGTTTGACAGGTGACCCAACGGGTCCGTTTTGGTTCGTCACCTTGGCAGAAGCCACCTCCATATCCCAGCGATCCAGGGCTTGCTTCCGATCCATGTTGAACCGCTCAACCCAGCGGTTGACCGCGCGGGTTTCGCCATAAAGACGGCCTCCCATGACTCAGAGGGACCCACAGACTCACGTGTCACAAGCAGCGAGAAGTTGTTGAGCACACGAACGCGAACACACATAACAAAACACACACAATTACTCTTCACAGACTTCACATAGCACTTGTTTTACGTTGGACACAACACATATCTCAATCATGCCACTCGATCGTCTCTGACTCTGCTTCAAAGCACATACTCAACATCCACATGCTGGCTGCCGCCAGCATCTCCGGTTCGAAGTTGGGGTTTGTAACATCTTTTGCGGCGGTGCGTGGAGCTGGGGGGGGGCGCGCGCGCGCGCACCTGCAGTTTTAGCATGGCAAATTTCGGTGAGGGGGTCATTACTTTCAGGGTTTGCGGTGTGCCAGCCCACACCAGCCTCCTTTCAGGACTGCCGAAACGGTTTGCCAAACATGTCACATGTCGCTTTCGGAATTGGCAGCACCTAAAATGCTACCGTGCAAAAAGCCTGTCTCCTGCCGTGCAACGAACTTGAAGGCTCGTCAGGACTCGCTTGGATTCTTTCCATACACGATACAGAATTCGTTCAGTACTATGGAGCAGGCAACAGTCGCGCCTTGTAGCCAAGTTTGTAGCTGGTCTGGATCCGACGAGCCTCCTTGTACTTCAAGAAGTCAAACTTGACGCGTTGCGAATATTTTCTTCTCGTGGCCCCGTTCATTTTGATATACTCGTGCATGAAGTCTTGCAGCGGCTCCCCGCCGCTGCGAAGCAGGCTGCGGAACCATTCGCCTTCGCCCTTGTCCTGTGCCTCGCGACGCGCGGCTTGCACGTCTGCTTTGCACACGCTGCACCACGTCGACTTGTTGGCAGCTATCCTGAGATTGCACAGAGGACACGTAGGAGTGCGGGCCGAACCGCCCGGCGCGGGCGGTGACACACCAGCAGATGCCGAAGATGATTCAACCCCCATACTTTCCTCCGCAACATCCTTCTCTTTGGCTGGAGAAAGATCAGCCACGAGCCCGAGACCTGGGGAGCCTTTCACAGGGGATTCGACCGGCTCGGTCGGCTCGGCCTTTACCGGCTGCTCAGGAGCGTCCATCCCCAAGACAGACATAGACAAAGACGCACACTAGTGAGCAGCGAAGCAACATGCTTTATATGACTGTAACGGTTGCCATTGCTATTCTACTGTGTTAGTGTTGACTCATCGTCTCAATGATTGTCTCAATGATCCAACGTGTGTTACCCAAACAAATTAAATCAAGACTCCACTCGGCCCCGGCACTTGGATGCATGTTCGAATGGAGGGAGCGGAAACGGTCTGGGCTGCTTTGGGGGGTGTGTATATGAAGAATAATATACGAGGCCGGGATGAGAGGGGTACAGGGGTCCGACGTGTACGGTGTAGTGTAGGGGTGGGGATGTACACATTGTGGCTGGGGTTTTGAGAGCAGATTTGGTGAAGAGGCCCCGGATTTGGGGGGGTTGGAAATCAGGATTTGGGGTAGGCGGCTGGAGCTAAGTGCAGTCCAAGGCTTGCAGGAGGGGCTGTACGCATATTTGGTGAATTCCAACCCTTTCTTGAGGCCCTGGATTCGGATCTTTTCGTGTGATTTTTCCGCCAAGATTGAAGACCTCGCCCGTTGGCATGAACGATTTGTCACCGCAACAAAACCCGAACACTACAGACTATAGGCCTTGATATGGCCGTGTTCTTGCTAACTATTTTGACAAGTCAACCTGGCATCGGAGGATTCTCTCAAGGAGCTTCTGTGTAGTCTCGCCATCACTTTTAATTGTATAGCTTGTGTACAAAACGCGATGGCCAGCAGCCAGCTCCTCAGTCGCTCACACGTAAATTTTTTGACGCTTTGTACAATCCAGCCTGCTAGATGTAGGGAATTTCGAAGGGATGATAGACTCCTGAAATCAATCGCCAAGAGCAAGTCTTTGACATAATTTACGCCGCCCCACATCATGCAGTGAAACAAATCCACCAGCATTCACGCCTCGTATCCCGACCTGAGCTGCGCGTTGCTGTCAAGGCCAGAAGTCCATCTTGGCCGTCGCCGCCGGCGCGACTGCCATGGCCTCCATGGCGCCTTGGCATGAAAATGCGGTTCTGCCGGATGTCGGGCTGATTGTGTGCGTTCTCCGCGGTGACATTATCTAAGACGAAGCCGTGACAAACCCACAGAAACACACAAAAATAAGTACAAACAAATCTAAAGATAACGAGAGGCTCACTGTATGACCACATAATGTGTATGTGTGTGTGTGTGCGCGCTGTGCACCACCGTTGGGATGCAGCAAACTGCCTCTGATGGCAATCGTGTCTGATAAACGGACATTGCATTCTCATGCAGAGGTACGGTATGCATAATATGTAAAGGAGTTCACATTGTATGGCATGTGCAGTTGTTTTGTTTGCTTGCTATGTTTCATGTGTATCCTGTGTATCACATAGGAACATGCACAACATGGAATTTCACGTATCCTTTCACAGAACGATGCACGCGCCATATGGAGCACATTCCTGAAGGCTTCAGGAATCAAGGTTCCAGCCGTGGGCTGTGGGGCTTTTTTCAGGCTGATGTTTCGCGATGGACTATGGCGCCTGAGTATCGAATCATTTGGGAGCGACAGTACTTACATGCCAGGATCTTTCTCACAAGCCACAGGCAATATTGGCACCTTAGTTCCCGTGACGCTCACTCAGGCCTTCGTTCAGAGCGGCCCAGCCGGTCAGGTCATGCTCTCGCCGAGTTTGGGGCTGGATCTGTTATTCGGGGCTCGCATGAAATTTGGAGTTTTCGCAGAAACGAGAGGGCCGTCCTCTAGTCGGGCAGTCTTGTGTCATGAACTAGGGAGAACACTTTCGCTCTCGTGGGACGGCGGCACTTCAAACGAAGGCTGCCCCTGAGAGAAGCAGCGTGCAGCTGCGCGGCCGAATAGCGGCCCAGGAAACTGCCACAGGCGCGTCTGATCTCTTGCGGCCTGTGTTGTTGATTCAGAATCCGCTTTGGTCTCGCGATGTGTGACCTCGAACTTCATTGTAATCTGGCCTGCTGTATCAGAACATAATCGGATGTTCGTCCGAGTGTATGCTCGGATCAGGAAGCAGTGCTTCAAGCTCAAGCATGATCGGCTGCACAGCCGCTGCTTCAGCATCAGCTGCTTGGCACTTCTTATTTGCCGCTGAGCACACGCTGTCTTTGTCATCATACACTCTTGCGGCTGGACCTGTGCCAGTCGATGAAGGACCAACACTGCTTGCGTACAGCTGTTACTCTGTTGGAGAGTTTCTGGGAACTGTGACACACTGGAATTTGAAATAGTTTGAGGCTGTGGGTACTTTCGGTGGTCCAAGTGGTTGAAGCTGCGAGAGTGACTGCCATGTCAGTCATTCCTCAAACTTGTTGAAGACGACATGCCCAAGCATGAACATGCACTTGAATGTCTGCCAATTGGGCTGACACAGCGTGCAGACGCTCCAACCGGGCCATTTGTGCGACAGGCCCTCCTAGCAGCGCAGCTTCGGGGCAAGCGCCAGGTGCCGGATCTGGTTCTGGGATTTTTTTGATAGGGTTGCTGATGGAAGGTGAAGGCTAGCGGCTTGCAGCAGGTCCAACGGTCCAGGCGTCAAGTTTCATTGAAGTGCAGAGGCCCGCGCTTGCACAGTGGGCTCTCACTCTGAGGTTCCGAGGTTGCCTTGTGGTGAAAGGGTCATGCTTAACACCACCTGCCGCGCAAGGCCAACTACGGCCGCAGGTCCCAGGTGGATGGGCGCAAGGGGGTTCCTGAGAGATGGAGGGGTTCAGCAGATGTGAAGGTAGCTGGCTTCTACCGGCAGGTAGCGAATTCACGTTAGGTCGGTCTCGTGTAGACGACACGGGCTATGTGCCGAGCTCAAAACATTTGGATTTGGGTCGTGCCCTCTTCAGAGCATCACACAAAAGGGGCGCATGCGCTCGCTCGCTCCGCTCTCTCTCTCTCTCTCTCTCTCTCTCTCGCTCTCTCTCTCTCGCTCTCTCTCTCTCCCTCTCTCTCTCTCTCGCTCTCTCTCTCTCTCTCGCTCTCTCTCTCTCTCTCTCTGTCTCTCTCTGTCTCTCTCTGTCTCTCTCTGTCTCTCTCTGTCTCTCTCTGTCTCTCTCTGTCTCTCTCTGTCTCTCTCTGTCTCTCTCTGTGTCTCTCTCTGTGTCTCTCTCTGTGTCTCTCTCTGTGTCTCTCTCTGTGTCTCTCTCTGTGTCTCTCTCTGTGTCTCTCTCTGTGTCTGTCTCTGTGTCTCTCTCTGTGTCTCTCTCTCTGTCTCTCTCTCTCTCTGTGTCTCTCTTTGTGTCTCTCTATCTGTCTCTCTCTGTCTCTCTCTGTCTGTTTCTGTCTCTCTCTCTGTCTCTCTCTGTCTCTCTCTATTTCTCTCTAGCTCTCTCTATGTCTTTATCTCTCTATTTCTCTCTCTCTCTCTC